AAACATCTGCAGACAACACACTTCTTCCATCTTAGGAATGAGGTATATAGTGTGTTAACTTCTTTGAATCATGCCCAACCAGTTGCCTATTGAACTTAGACCATGGGATCTCCAATCAATTAAGTTAGGTTTCCGCTCGGCTGATTCATTAGTTATGTTGGCTTTAGCCTCATTCCCCTCGATGATCAACTTACTCTCTAGTCTAACCTTTAATAATTGGATCCACTATTAGGTTGACTATTTTTAATGGTGTGCACAATCCATCTTATGAAATTATATTTCATACGAGAGTAGTTGATTTACAATGTCAAGTCCTCAACCGTACATGTTGGGACTTTAGTTAGTAATTTGCTAATACTTGGGCATACTCCCCCACATTTAAGGTAGTTGTAAGAAGGTCTCTAACCTTGCCATACCTTAAACAATTACTCATTACAGGAGATGACATCTTAAATGTCGTTCAATCAGCAACTTACTTTTAACCAACCCCCACAATTCTTTCATAATTATAGTTTCTTGTAATGCTATCATTAAATCGATCACATTTTCCACTTTAAGAAGTAAGGAACAATTAAGATAGACTTTATCTATCTTTTTAGGCATTCATGCCTCACTAGAAATTATGAGAAAATCACTTCTTGGCTTTCATTCTTTCCTTACTATGACTAACATGCATGACCCAATGGCCATGTCCAATCATATGCTTACTTAATAAGCATCATTATGTCGAATTCAAATCTGCGAAATGTCTTTTACATTTTCAGTATGGTTTTGTCCTTTTTTGAAAGACCCCCACACTTTCATGATTATTTCTTTATATTAATATCATTTTAAATGACACTCAATATCATCTTGAGCCTCTTATAATTTATAAATATATCACTTCGAAGAAAGCATATAAATGATTTTGCAACATTATTATCACTATATGATAATACATCCAGTCGGTATGTAGAAGTTTACATACCAGCCCATGAACACATTTGAATATGTCAATGACTAGTTGGAAAGGTCATACCCTTTCACTATCAAAAGCAACACTTCAAATGACATGCTTTTCCTTTGAATTTCATGGCAGATTTCAATTTTCAATTCCACCACATTACAAAACCATCCATTTGTTAAATAGTTGCATCTTTCTACAACTTAACCTCCACATGGTTCAATATAAGTCTTGGACCTTGACCCCATAATTAAATAAGCGTTTTTCGACGTTGGCAGATAACTCATCTAAAATGAGTTCAGTTTATCATTTTATTTTCGTTGCTTCTCAAAGCCAAATTTATCCACTTTCTGGGTTCTTATCATGACTGACCATGACTAAAGACTAAACCCAATTTTGCATATGCACACATATGCTTGAGTAATTGTTCAATTTCCTTCATATGTATTCCATTCTTTCCATGAATAAATATGAATAATCTTATATTTCTATGATACCATGGAAGTTGGGTTCATATCTTCTACTGGAGTTTTCCAAACTGTTTCAATACAAATTTAGAACAACCCCATTTTATTTGGGTAGTAGCTTTCGCTGACATCTTTATGAATATAAGGGTTTTCTCAACAAAACCCGATTAATCATCCTCGTGCCCAATCAAAAATTGATTTCCTTTGTCCCAAGAAAGAAACATTGTATCAGTCCACGAACTGGTACACATTATTGCCCTTTTATATTTGCAAATAATGCAAATTTTTGAATCAAGCCATTTCATTTAACCTTAACCGTCACATCCTTTCTAATAGAAAAGTCAATGCCAAACATACTTGCCAAATATTCATGAATGATGCAATTGAATCATGAGAATCGCATATGTGAAACAAAAGATTCATGATTGCAGTGTAACATATATTATCAATATATCCATGTTTTCTCTGAAAATGTCTCAAAACCAATCATGATAATCAAAGAAATTTAGAATAGCCATATCTGATTTCAGCCCCAACCACGAACCACACTAAACTGATTGGTTAAAGTACCGAATACCTTTTCATGGAGATATCCAAGTCACTTATCAGTAACTCATGAAATAATTTAATTTTGTTCTTTGAAAGAAACACTCTGGGCATCAGCCCATATGACAATTCAAATTTTAACATGGTGGTAAATGGCCAAAGACATCAATACCCTATCACTGTCAAATGTAGAAAAATCTATTTATTAATTCTTTTATTCTCTTACGCATGGCAGATTCATTTTAGTGAGAATAACCAAGCAAGAAGGCATATATGTTGTAACATACATATGCAGACAATGAAAGCACACATATCACTGCCAGATGAAAACCGAAAAACATCTTCTAGTATATACAGAATGCAATTTCCACTAGTGTGGCAACATACAGACATTATTGTATATATCAAGAATTCAAGCACATCAAATAAACTAATATACATCAATATGCACGTAAAATCCAGCCCCACAAATTTTCCAAAGCAACATCAGAATTTCTTCTACTTAGCATTTAGGGCTACGTTCAATGTTATTGATTTTAACTTCTTCTATTACGTACTCAGACTCATACTCTCTAATATTGCAAGAGAAAAAAATTCTATCTTTAGATTGTTGGAGCAATATTAGAAAATATGAAAAATAACAATATAATTCCAATAATAATAAAGAAATTCACAACATCAATTATATATGAGATTAATATAAACAACTAGAGTGAAAGTTAGAAAACTGACAAACTTGGAGATTGAGGCTTGCATAAATGCAATGTCCTAAAGATAGAATTTCACCCCTACTCTTGTGCTTGTAGTTCAATAGGCGTCTATCTCCCAGGATTCAACAATCTATAATCCGAAGTCAAAGCACTTCAATCTTCGGACTCTGGCGAACTTCATATATTCCGTACTCTCAAGACACAACTCGGAATTTGACTAAGAATGAAAGAAATAAAGTGGGGAAACCCTATTTCTCAAGAGTAAAAATTAACTCTAATTTCTCTATTTCTAATACCAATGGTTTCATGGGTTTATATAGAATCCAACTTCTACTTATTAAAGAGATGTAACTTTTCACTATAAGTATACATCACTTATCAAGGGAATATCACTTAAACAACATAACCTTTCTAAGAAATTGGTTAACACTATTTTTCATTCAATTATTAAAATTATATATTACAATATTTCATATTATAATATATAATTTCCAACAGTTTAAAGTCACAATCATAGTTTTCAAAGGTTGATCTACTAGGAAAACATTCGTACTTTAGAAAAAGAATTAGCTTAGCTGTTCTTGTTCCATTTATAACGAAACAAAACACTAAGAATATACTGCAAAATAAGGGTTCCCTCTATAATTGGAAGCCTTATTAGTTATTTTGTCCATAATCCAAATTATTAGCCCCAAATCTCTTCCGTTTTAAACATAATCTAACATAATTAAAATATTGTGTCCACTGTCTAGTGGGTTTACCTAGATGAAATACAACGAATCAAGGTGCTCTCTTTTCCACTATCAGATTCAGTGGGTATTGACTTTACAATTGTACTTTGGAATAATCTGATACAACTTTAATTCACATATAATTAGCAGTTTAAAATTAATTAATTATATTAGTGGCAGGTACATTGTTATGGAGGAGAGAGATCGATGATGACCAAATCCGCACCGATATGTATAGACAAAGACATTATGTTTTGGAGCTTTAATCATTAGTGGGGAAAAGAAAATGGAACTTTAATAAAAAATCTGGTTCACATTTTTACACTAAAAAGTCAATTCTTTTACTATTAATTTTATTCTTTATTTTGTATTTATCATTAAAACTCAAAATTTTCAAACCATTTTCATTAATTTTCCTAAAGAAAAAGATTCGAGTTGGGCACTTCAATTTGAATCTAGTTCAGGCCCTTACGGGACCGGGCTGACCCGATTCAGGATTTGCTTGGCTCTGCAGAATAAGTAAAAGCTAAAGACAAAACAATTCTCTAGGACTAATCTCTAGTTACATGTATAAACAGTAACCGAAAGATTAAAATGAACGGATGACATAAAATTTTGGTTTAAGTTATTATTCGGATCAGGAAAACTCGAATAAGAAACCCGGTCGAAAATTTAACATGAATCACATCTCTTCATGGAGTCGTTGGCAGGGTTTATTTCTGTTAGTGAAATTGTCTCACTCACTTTGTAATCTTTTTAATTAATTTAATTAAATTTTCTATATTAGGTTCATTAAATGACAGATTTATCGGTGCGTACTCAAAGTAAATTCATTGTAATTAATTTGTATATTTGTACTTCTATATATTGTATATTTGTGAATAAATGAAACACTGCCACTAAATTCAAATTCAAGTCTTATATATAGAATTCAAATTCATGTAGAAAGCAGCTCCAAATGTGACATTTCTCCACTCTTATTTTTATTATACGTGTAAGAAAAACCAAGTATTTTCCGTTTTATATAATTTCAAGTTTGTGATTGTTGTGTGTGAAGTGTTGAACGACTTTTCCTGGTCGAAGTCATTGTGAAGAGAGAAGCTATTAGTTTATGAGTTCAAGGAGTACAGAAAAAATAAAAAAAGAAATCAAGATCCTCATCAAATCTTCAAATTCGGATCCAGAAATCTAAAAATTTGGACTATTTAAAAGAGGAGAGAGAATTGAACTCTTAGTTTAAATGAGTTGATCAATGAAATAAATAAATTAGGCCGTAAGATTTTAATTGAGTAATTTGAATTTCTGAATCTGCTTATTTTGGACACAAAAATCAAGAGACGACGTAAATTCAGAAGAAAAAAAACTTATAAATTGGAGAACCGATAAAATAAAATTTTTCATCAGTTATATAAAAACACGTAATGTATCACTCGTGTTCCTGTCACAATTAAAAATTTCTCTAAGAAGGAAGGTCAAGATTGTCTCTGTCAAACGGTCAAATTCGACGAGCAACACAGTCTAATCAAATATATTAATCTCCCCAAAATAAAATAAAGTTAAAAAAATAAAAAAGTTGATGTCCTTGGCACTATATAAACACAAGCAAGAAAGCCCAAATCACAAAACAACCTCACAGCTCAAAAGTTTCAAACTTTCACGATTCAAGCACTCATCTTCTCTCTTGCTTAATCGAAGACGGATATCTGCATCGAGAAGAGCTTTTGAAGTGTAAAATACTGAGCGTTCTCTGCTTGATATATACTTTTTGATCCCTTATTAAGATAATCAGAAGCAAAAGAAGTGATGGAGAGTGCAAGGTGTTGAATTAATGGCCACAAGTGTCCAAAAAACCTTTCGGCTATTAAACAAACCAAAATAAAAAAAGGTGAAAGACATCATGATGAGGAGGCATCATGATTATGTTTGTTGAAAAGAAAAGTTGATGGTCATGATGATGTTTTTGAATTTTTTATTGGGTGATGATGATGGATGAATGTTATCATACGGAAGTGAGAAAGAGAGATGAAGTAGTGTGCACCATTTTCTGTTTTGTAGTCCATCTTTGAGAGAGCAAAGAGAGCTGAGAGCAGAAAACTGAGAGCAGAAAGAGAAGAAAGAAAGGTGATTTCTTTCTTTGTTGGTACTCACTCAATCAAAGTTGTATTTGTGTATTAGCTTTGAGTTTTGTATAGAGAGGAAATTATTCACTATATTTCCCTCTCTATTTGTTTCTTTGGTGAGTGAGAATTATTGGGTGTATTGGGTTATTTGGGTTGTGAGATTGCCAACACTTTGTAAACTCCAATTTGGTTGATAGTGGATTATTGGGTGAGCTCCTACTGCTCCGAGGACGTACTCCAGTTACACTGACTGTTGAGGAACCTCGTTAAAATCTTGGTGTTCTTTAATATTTTGTTCTTGCATTTTATTTGATATATTTCCTGTGGGTTATAAAAGAGTTGGTTCTAAAAGGTTTGGTGCTATCCTAGCACAACAATTCGTATCAGAGCACTGGTTGCTCTTAGGTACTGTCTAGTTGTCAAAGATGTCAGACGGGCAAGATGAAAATCCTTTTGGAAGCACCTCCGGGTTTGCAAGAACTACGGTGCAAAATGCAAAGTTCGAAGTGGAAAAGTTTGATGGCACAAACAACTTCGGGATGTGGCAATGTGAGGTCAAAGATGTGTTGGCTCAACAAGATCTACTTGCCGCTTTGGGAGAGAAGCCGGAAGCTATGTCGAAGCCAGAATGGGAGAAATTAAATTTGTGGGCTTGCTCTTCAATTCGGTTGTGCCTTGCAAAAACTCAGAAGTATTTTGTGATGCGGGAGACGGTAGCAAGTGTGTTGTGGCAAAAATTGGAAGACAAGTATATGACAAAGAGTGCAGAGAACCGGCTACACTTGAAGAAAAAGCTCTACCGCTTCCAATACAAAGAAGGTACAAAAATGATTAGACACCTTGATGCTTTTAATAAGTTGATTGCCGACTTGTTAAATTTAGATGAGGATATTAAGGATGAAGATAAGGCCTTAATATTGTTGAATTCCTTGCCAGACTCTTATGAGCATTTTGTTACCACTATTATGCATGGTAAAGAAACTGTGAAATTTGAAGATGTGTCAAATGCCTTGATGAATTATGAAATGAGGCATAGAGATAAAAATCATGATAGTACCTCTGAAGCTTTATTTGTTAGAGGTAGATCATCGGAGAGGAGGTCATCTTCTAGCAGGAAAAAATCACAGTCTCGACCTAGAGGAAACTCTAAAGGTAGAAAACCTTTGGAAAAGGATGAATGTGCATTTTGTCATAATAAGGGCCATTGGAAGAAAGATTGTCCTAAATTGAAGACCAAAGGAAAAGAAAGTTCTGAAGCTAATGTTGCTGAGGTTGAAACAGATTTTTCTGATTTTGCTTTAACCACTTCCTCATCATTTGATTGTGCTACTAAGTGGGTGTTGGATACGGGTTGTACTCATCATATGACTCCTCACAAGGATTGGTTTTCAAACTTGAAAAAGTTTGATGGTGGCGTTGTGTTCATGGGAGATGACAATCCTTGCACAACAAAAGGGATTGGTACAGTTCGTTTGAAGTTGCATGATGGCATGGTTAAAGAGTTGACAGGTGTTCGGTATGTACCGAATTTGAAGAAAAATCTTATTTCTTTAGGTACTTTGGAATCCAAGGGTTTCAGGTTTCATTCAGATGGACAGACATTGAAAGTTACTTATGGTGCACTTGTTGTGATGAAAGCTCCTAGATGTGGCCATTTGTATTTATTGCAGGGAAGCACTGTGACAGATGAAGCATCTGTAGTATCTGAAAATATGGGCACATCTGATTCAGATACTACTAAATTGTGGCATATGAGATTAGGCCATGCCGGTGAGAAAGCTCTACAAGGGCTTGTAAAACAAGGTCTTCTAAAAGGTGCCACGACTTGTAAGCTTGATTTCTGTGAGCATTGTGTCTTGGGGAAGCAAACTAGAGTGAAGTTTGGTACTGCAGTACATCAGACGAAGGGCATTCTTGATTATGTGCATTCAGATGTTTAGGGTCCTACAAAGACTCCCTCTTTGAGTGGTAGACATTGGTTTGTAACTTTTGTTGATGATTATTCAAGAAGGTCTTGGGTCTACACTATGAAGCACAAGAGTGAGGTGTTGAGCATTTTCTTGGGTTGGAAGAAAATGGTTGAGAACCAGACTGGGAGAAAGATTAAGATTTTGAGATCGGATAATGGTGGTGAATACACATCCGATCCTTTCTTTAAAGTTTGCAAAGAGGAAGGAATTGTGAGACATTTCAGTGTTCGGGGAACTCCACAACAAAATGGAGTTGCAGAAAGATTGAATCGAATCTTGCTTGAGAAGGTTAGATGTATGTTGTCTCAGTCGGGTTTAAGCAAGTCATTTTGGGCAGAATCAGTTAATTATGCATGTCACATCATCAACCGGTTACCCTCAGCTGCTGTTCAGGGTAAGACACCAATGGAGGTATGGACTGGAAAACCTTCTTCTGATTATGACTATATCCGTATTTTTGGTTCACCTGCTTATTTTCATGTGACTGAAAATAAACTTGATCCTAGAGCCAAAAAGGCTATCTTTCTTGGTTTTAGTAGTGGTGTCAAAGGTTACAGGTTGTGGTGCCCAGAGATGAAAAAAATTGTAATCAGCAGAGATGTGACATTTGACGAAGAAAGTATGTTCAAAGACTCTGAGAAAAATGTGAAAGATGTCCAACAGGTGGAGCTTGAGAAAGTTGCCTCTGGTACTTCAAATCCTATTTCCGCTGATGTCGAAGCCACTACAAGTGAAGAAGTTGGAGACCATGAGGATGTTGAAGAAGTTGAACTTGAAGATTCTATTCAAGTTGAAGAGCAAGTTTCACCTCAAGAGTCTATTGCCAAGAACAGAGGAAATAGACAAATTACCAAGCCAGCTCGGTATAATGATTATGTTGCTTTTGCTCTTCCTATTATCACTGAAGAGATTCCATCCAATTATGAGGAAGCCATTGAGAGTGAGGAGAAGAAGAGGTGGTGCAATGCCTTGGGTGATGAGATGAATTCTCTCTTGAAGAACAAGACTTGGGAGTTAGCTAAATTGCCTAAGGGCAAGAAAGCTATCGGTTGCAAATGGGTGTATGCCAAGAAGGAAGATGCTGATGAGAAAAAGCAATGTGAGATTCAAAAAGCAAGATTAGTTGCTAAAGGGTATGCACAAAAGAGGGCATTGACTACAATGAAATCTTTTCTCCGGTTGTGAAGCACTCCTCAATTCGCATTATGTTAGCTCTTGTTGCACAGTATGATCTTGAGCTTGTGCAACTTGATGTGAAGACGGCTTTCCTACATGGTGATTTGAATGAAGAGATTTATATGTGTCAACCGGATGGGTATATATAGTGAAAGGGAAGGAAAATTTGTTTTGCAAATTGAAGAAATCACTTTATGGCTTGAAGCAATCTCCAAGGCAATGGTATTTGAGGTTTGATAAATTTATGAGAGGCCAAAATTATTCTAGAAGTCAATATATGATCATTGTGTGTACTTCAAGAAGTTGCAAGATGGGTCTTTCATTTATTTGTTGATATATGTTGATGATATGTTGATTGCCTCAAAAAATGTTGAAGAGATTGAAAAATTGAAGAAGCAAATGAAGAATGAGTTTGAGATGAAGGATCTTGGTGAAGCGAAGAAGATCCTTGGCATGGAGATCACTAGAGAGAGAGAGAGAAGAGTTTGGTCAGTTTGAATCAAAGACAATACCTTGAGAAGTTGATTCGGAAGTTTGGAGTTCATGATTCAACCAAACCGGTTAGTACCCCTTTGGCTTCTCATTTTAAATTGAGTTCTCTACAATGTCCTAAAAATGATAAAGAGAAGCTGCAAATGAAAAATATACCATATGCAAATTTGGTTGGTAGTTTGATGTGTATGCAATGGTATGCTCTAGACCGGATATTGCTCATGCAGTTGGCATGGTGAGTCGATATATGCATAATCCAGGTAAAGAGCATTGGCAAGCAGCTAAGTGGATATTGAGGTATCTCCATGGTACTCGAGATGTTGGTTTATGCTTTGAGAGAGATGACTCTGGTATTGGTCATTTTGCAGTTGGTTATGTTGATTCAGATTATGCAGGTGATCTGGATGGAAGGAAGTCTACTACAGGCTATGTGTTTACTATGGCTAAATGACCAGTTTGTTGGAGGTCCATTTTGCAGTCGTCTGTTGCCTTGTCTACTACAGAGGCTGAATATATGGCAGTTGCTGAAGCTATAAAGGAGGCCATTTGGATACATGGGCTGATTAGGGATTTGGGGGTTGATCAGAAGCAGGTGGAGGTACATTGTGATAGTCAGAGTGCCATTTATTTGGCTAAGTATCAGGTTCATCATGCGAGGACCAAGCACATAGATGTGCGTTATCACTTTGTTCGTGAAATTGTTGGTGAAGGGGAAATCATTCTCCAGAAGATTCCAACTAAAGACAACCCTGCTGATATGTTGACTAAGGTTGTTGGTGTAGCCAAGTTTGTTCACTGTTTGAACTTGGCTCACATTATGCCTATATAAAGAAGGCGTTGAGCAGTAGGAGTTTTGGAGTATTTGGCTCGGCATGAGTTGTTCTCTTGCTAGTGTTCGGGAGTGATGTTGCGTGCTAATTGTGTTGGTTGGCTTATCATGGCGTTTTTCGGAACTTGGCCAAGGTGGAGATTGTTGAATTAATGGCCACAAGTGTCCAAAAAACCTTTCGGCTATTAAACAAACCAAAATAAAAAAAGGTGAAAGACATCATGATGAGGAGGCATCATGATTATGTTTGTTGAAAAGAAAAGTTGATGGTCATGATGATGTTTTTGAATTTTTTATTGGGTGATGATGATGGATGAATGTTATCATACGGAAGTGAGAAAGAGAGATGAAGTAGTGTGCACCATTTTCTGTTTTGTAGTCCATCTTTGAGAGAGCAAAGAAAGCTGCAGAGAGCAGAAAACTGAGAGCAGAAAGAGAAGAAAGAAAGGTGATTTCTTTCTTTGTTGGTACTCACTCAATCAAAGTTGTATTTGTGTATTAGCTTTGAGTTTTGTATAGAGAGGGAATTATTCACTATATTTCCCTCTCTATTTGTTTCTTTGGTGAGTGAGAATTATTGGATGTATTGGGTTATTTGGGTTGTGAGATTGCCAACACTTTGTAAACTCCAATTTGGTTGATAGTGGATTATTGGGTGAGCTCCTACTGCTCCGAGGACGTACTCCAGTTACACTGACTGTTGAGGAACCTCGTTAAAATCTTGGTGTTCTTTAATATTTTGTTCTTGCATTTTATTTGATATATTTCCTGTGGGTTATAAAAGAGTTGGTTCTAAAAGGTTTGGTGCTATCCTAGCACAACACAAGGAGCGCTATGATCAACGGCGGACGTTTCTCTCAGAGGCCCAATTCTGGGCGTCTGATTCCCAAGAGGGGTCAGGTGAAGGTGGCTATTGTTGGGGTTCTGCTTCACTCTTTCTCCTCCGTTTTCTCTGCCAGCAGCCGCCGCGACGGTTGTGAATCTAGCGATGCTCATCACTTCTCTTAGCTGATGAGATCATGTTGATCAATCAATCAGTCCAGTTTTTTTGGTGAAAGATTTTTACATTTTTTATGAGTGAGGGAGAGGGAAGGGTAAAAAGTTTGAGTTCTTACCTTTGTTTCTTGCAACAAAAGGCTGTAAAAAATTTGTAGTTTGAAGTTTATAACTGTTGGAATATGTTTGTTAACTCTTAGTTATGTGTCTTCTTTCAATCCGTCTATTAAAGTGCGAGCATCGAACTCAAAATTAAATGACAATAGATTGGTGAGAAGGTCAAAATCATTTTACCATTTACGGTACACAGAACTTCGCGACAAAAGATTAAGGGGTGGTTTGAGAGTGAGGTGCTTAAAAAAAAAGCACCCATGAAAAAAAGCTGTGAGGGTTTTAGGTGTTTGGTAAACTGAAAAAAAGGCTTATTTTGGAAGCTGCTGTGAGAATAAGCTGAAATCAAAGGAAAAAGCTGAAGCTGCTATTTGTAGCTTTGGAAAACTGGTTTTTTTTTTTCAAAGCACACGGAGCTACAGGGCTCCTTTAATGAAAAGACCCCTATCAGACTCCTTTTTTTTTCAAAAGCACTTTTACAAAAAAGTTTACTAAACACTCTACTGATTTTTTTCACAACCGCTTATTCTCAGCAACTTTTTTTCAAAGCACAGCAATATCAAACCAACCCTAAGAGATTGAGTTTAAATTGAACCAAAAATTTCACCCAATTCGACAAATTGAGAGATCAAGATCTTAAACCTCTAACATATGTAGCCTTTATATTCGGAAGAAGGCGAAACGAGGAGTGTTAAAATCACTAGCCTATAACACATGGCAATGGTGTGTGAGGTGACTTGTAGCATCAACCTATTCTCGAGTTATCTCTGCCAAAGACAAGAGTAGTAGCCCAGTTCACTGCAACATAGAACCTGTTCCTCCAGCTGACAACACGCGTCAGATAAGCGGAGCGCCAAATAAACCAGCTGAGAAATCCGGCAAGGGATATGCCCTTTGCATCCTGCAAAATTTTACTCAACAGGTTGAAGGAAAATGCTTGGCGGAAAAGCACACTGAAAGCGCTTGGCATAAAAGCACATTGCCCTTACCTTAGACTGGCGTAGATCAACCAAAGCCTTATAGCCTCCAACTGTCGCCATGCTTCCAAGGTGCTTGTACACAAATTGCTTCCCGAGAGGAATGTCTCTTGCGCTGAAGGCCTTCCCGGCATCCTGCTTTCCTATCCTGTTAAACAACTCCACCAGAAACTTTCCCTCGCGTTCTGCCACCTATTCGAAACAAAGTGAACTGGGTTAGTTCTAAGATGGCTTCACAGTTGCTCATTTGCTCTCTCTCTACGTCGATCTATCAGCAAGTCTGAAAATGTGAATTCGGTTGAAATATGCTAACAATGTGATAGCTATTTCGATTGGAATGCCTTACAAATTTTGATGTTAAACTCTTCTTATCTGTATATTTAGCCTTTGGCATTAGCAATTTTAACAAAACTCAAATATTGGATGCCATAGGGAATATGCATGAATTATGACAGGCTTGACAGCAATGTCTAGTTTGTAGAGTGAAAACATAATTCTAACCTGAGCTAAAGCCGGAAGCACTGGCCTCCCCGTATGCTCAAGAAAACCGGCGCAATCTCCTAGTGCAAACACATCTTCCACTGAAGGAACCCGCATCCAGCCATCAACACCAATCCTGTATCACTCAACAGAGTTGATTTTAGATCCTTGATCAATTGAATCGAAGGAAGAAACCGGACCTTGAAAAAGAGAGAAAGTAAAGAAATGCTGGTGGTTATACCTTCCACCCGGGGACTTTGGAAGATTAAGTTTTTTCACAAACTCTGAGGGACCAACACCGGTAGACCAGACCAAAAGGCCATATGGAACATCAGTTCCATCGTTGAGAACTATCTTCTTCGGATGCACTTCTTTCACAACGCCTCGCATAAGGCGAACGCCAGCCTGGTGCAAAAGTTCACATTTCAAATCAATCCCAAGAACCAACATGAAGTAGCCTCCAGAATGTTAGAAAGAAAATCAACTAACCTTGGTCAAGTGATTTGTTGCATATTGCCTTAAGCCAACATCAAACGATGACAAAATCTCGTTCGCCTGTTAAAAAAATTAACGAGAAAACAATCATTTGTTTCATAATTTGTCCACAAGAAGCCAGTGCAGAGTGCATAAATATAGGAGAGAATAACTGATTGTACCTCAATGAGTGTGACTTGGATGTAATCCTTAACGTGAGTATACCGTTCTTGGACATCTTTCATGATGAAATCACTCAACTCGCCACTGAACTCCACCCCCGTAGGGCCACCTCCAATAACACAATGCAGAATGCGTTTCCTTTCTTCCTCCAATATGCCTGCAAAGTAAAATGTATAAGATGTAAGAGGGAAGAACACCGATTCCTACCAATTGTATTTCACTCATCCTTGAGAGAGCAAAACCAAGTCTTCAAATAATTGTATACTCTGAGAGACATATAACACTCACCTGGATGTTCAGAGAGCATGAGGTTCAAGAGAAGCTTCTTCCTAATCTCTTGGGCATGATTCACTTCACGGAGGAAAAATGCATGTTCCTTCACACCCTTGATACCGAATGTCAGAGGCTCAGCTCCTGCAGCTATGACGAGCTTGTCATATGCAACTTTGAACCTATAAGGTTCATGAGATAAACCGCCATTGCTAACTGTCTCGCAGTAAACCTATACGAAAGAAGAACATTAACTTTTCTGTTGCTATGACCAAAAATCTAAATTAGTTAGTGTCCATTATGTTATGAATCTTAAGATAACTGAACAATGTAAGCAAACATTTCCCAAATTTGAAAATAATCAAGTTGATAACTATAGTTCCGTTACCTCATGTTTGTCTGTGTCAAGGCCAACGCAGGAAGCCAGGTAAAAGTATGAATTGGGACTCGTCGCCATTGCAGATTGTATATGACTAACAGGTTCAGCAACCGAACGAAATTCCAGGGTACCAACGCAAGTTGAAGCAAGTAAAGGAGTGAAGACCATGTGATTTCTCGGCGATATGCAAACAACATCATAAACCTTGGTGTCTAGTCCCTTGAGGAATCGACAAGCGGCCCAGCCAGTACCAAGGACCACCACTCTTGGCTTTTCACCCGGCCTGGTTGCTTCTAGTCCCGGATACTTGGGCTCATTACACTCCGAATCAGACTCCTCAACAATCCTTTCTGCAGAAGGGAACTGATAATTTGGAGTTATGCTTATTCCCCTGCTCCAGAATCTATTGTGATTCACCTTTGAAATGCTGGAGAGGTACGAAAGATTGTTGTTTCTAGTCTCACTTTCGAGTGAAGGTACGGAACAATAATTGCGTGTGGATGCTCGCTCACACAACATATCCTTCTCAATTGTGCGAGCGGATGCTCCTGATGACGACCTTCTGAATCCATTTCGAGCAGTCCTGGCAATCCTTTCTAATGCCATGTTCAGATGAAGCACTACTCTCCGAAACAAGATTAACAAGTACCCGTTGAACCTTCTGAAGAGAAGCAAATCGGTGCTTGTTCAACCTGTTGAAATTGAACCAAAGGAAGTGAGCTACGAAAACCGCTACTACTATCGGATCAACATTTGAGGGCAGAAATATATATAGGGAGATGAACTGGCCACTCGTAACAGATGGAGAGGTGAAGACAACAGGCAGGATAATTAGAGCAATACTACAATCAAAGAATGGTAAGATTATTAGCATATGACAACGATTCGTGTCGAAAATACCAGCTTACATTTGGCCATCAGCTGACGGCAGAAACAAAGAGAAAGGCTCTTGTAAATTTAGGAGGAGTTGAAGATCATAAAAAAAACAGATGTCTAATTCTTATGCATTGCTTGTAGAAATTAACATTTAGCATCAAATCAAGATCACACATGCACAAACGCCCCGGCGCTTGATTTCCTGTGTTCGACTCCCTCTCTCTCAATATCGCTCGTATCAAAAAATAAAAAACAACCCGGATGAGTCCATACATCCAGATTCATGAAATTTTCAAAAATTCAATAACTTAGCTAAGAAAATTGGACGGCATCCAGAAACAAAGCCACACAAACAGAACAACTCTGCTTTATACACAAAAATCAACACCAAAGGCATGAAAAATTCGATCTGAAAGCGAAAAAGACAAAAACTTTCAACCCCAAAAATCAAACACTAATCTAACAGCAACCCACCAGCATCATAATATGCAGATCACATCCAAAAACTAACCAAAAATCCAAAACAGTAAAAACGTAATCTTCGTGAAGCAGAATTTACAGAGATTTTGGAGCGATGAAATCATGAAAGTTGCCTGCTTTGGAATATCCCAGATTCTTGGAGCGTCTTCGTAGGGCAAAAAAATCAAAAGGGCCGTCGTGTCTGTTTATATAAAGGTGATGGGAGATCACAAAATATAAGAACCGATTCGGGAATTAAAAAGTTGGGAAATGAAGAGGGAGTTTGAAGGGACCGACTTGCGACGCAAGGAAGGTTGTTGAGATTCGATATGTAAATATATTAAATATTAGGCAGTAAAAGAATGGAAAAGGTCCGTACTTGGCATGTTTTCTCGTTCTCTGTGGGAAAATCGAAATGTGGAAACCGGAAAGAAAATGCAGAGAGAGAGTGGTAGCAAATACGACGATGTTTCGTTTGGGGGTGTAATGGAGACTTCAGTGGGTCCCACTCCCATGAACTATTTCCCCTGCTGCTAGCTGTCTGTGTGTGTAAAACCTTAAACCCTAGTTGTTTGGTGAGAGAGGTGGAAGAGACAAAGTCAAGGTTTGATCTAGGTAGGCGGCATTGAATACAATTTGTCTTGTCTCCCACGATATCGGGTCGTACTTTTGAACTTTCCTTTTCTTAATTTCTGTGGGTCGAAAATGGCCCTTCCCCCAAAGGCTCACTACTAGTAACCAATAGCTTTACTCAAATCGGCCCTATGACTAGGAGGCCCAAATCCAAGTCTTTTGAGTGTTGTTGTGTGGCGGAAAGAGGCATTCTCTACTACGCATCAAAATATTTACACATCATTTAACCTAACAGGGTCTAACAGCTCTTGTTCAAACTATATACAAATAGATGGACGGAATCGATAAAAGCATTATGAACGTCTATCTATTTGGTACAGTTGATTGACAACACGACCTTAATTTTAATTGATTTGTTGTAAAGCTGAGCTGATATTTACGTAGTGTTTTATAATATAAATGGTTCCGATCATATAAATGAAGTTCTGTGATTCGGCAAAGATTTAAATTAAGGAGAAAATCCTCCTCAATCTTAAGGAGCCAAGCTCCTCTCATAAATATATATATTTTTTTAGGGAACTTTAATGAAAAACTCTCGGTAATGTTCACTTTAACGAAAAACCACATTTTTACACTAAAAAGTCAATCATGGTACTATTCACTTTACCCTTTATTTTGTCCTTATCATTAAAACTCAAAGTTTTCAAGCCATTTTCATTAGTTTTTTTTTTTTTTTTTTTAAGCTCCTCTCATCCAAGAAAATACTAGTGTAAAGTAAAGGGAAGTCAAAATGGAGTTCCATCAACCATAATGTGAAAAATGTGATTCCTAATTTTTCGAAGATTTTTGTGTACTTCATAAGTAATAACACCATCTTCAGCTTTCTATTTGAACCACAGGAAGTGGTCTAGTGGTAAGAGTGCGGATTCCAACTCCCAAAATATAAAAAATAGGGAGGTTTCGGATTCGAGGCTCCAAGTTGGTGAGTCTGCTTGACTGTGGCCAAGGAGAGGCTAAAAATGAAATGCCTCTGTGGCCAAGGATAGGTTGTCCCCCTTTAAAAAAAAAAAAAAAGAACCTTCGATTTGGACATGTGGAAGTCGTCCTCCTTTTTCATTTAATATGACTTTAGCACATATATACATTAGCATTTTAGCAATGAAGTGGAATAACAAGTTTTCAACACACGCAAGTACTAATTAGAATGTCATGTCTTCTTCTAGCTAGGGTTCAATCTTCATGCTTGAGTTTGATTAGCAACTTCTGGTTAGTTGATTAGATTAGGTGGGTGAGTGTGATGCTTCGTCAGCAACTTCTGTCTCTTGACCGGAAGAAAAGACGCGATTGAGGATGGCCGCCAAGCGAACCCCGCCTTGAGCAATCCTCTTCTCCACCACAGGTAGCCGAGAAAGGAAGTAATTCTCTAAAAAATTTCAATCACATCATTGATTAGTTAACAATTGAAATTTGGGAGTGTGTATGTGTAATGTATGTACACTGGTAAAAATGTACTTGCGTGTATATACCTGTAAGAGTATCACCCACCCCAACGTCCTTGTAACCCCACTTGCAAGCTATGTTTATACTCTCCGTAGCATACCTAAGTACATACGTAACAAGGTATATTTCAACACTAATATCGACCACCAAAATATCAAAGCTATGTATGTCTGTACGGACATGTGTGTGCTCGTGCACACTTGTGTATACGTATGAGACCATGAACGTTGATCAAAGCTTACTTGTTTATACATGAATGTTGATCATCGCAATGTTTCCATGATGTAACATCATCAGACCAGATTCCCTGTTAACATAGTTAATAATTAATTCAAACATATAATTCCATGTATCGATAGATCCCTTGTAATTTAATAATTAATAAACATTGGTTCTTACATCTGTGATGTTCCCCTGTATGTCTTGTAGGAGGAGTTCCATGTCTTTGTCATAGTAGTCCTTCATAGCTTGTAGTATAATCTCCCTATCCCATACCTGCACAAACAAGACATTTCGATTTTTAATAAATAATGGATGTTCGTTCCATAGCCGGACTACTATTTGGTTGTTCCAAGAGCGACAACTTCAAGGGCTTACATGGTGAAGATTGGATTTGTGCTTGTACCAACGCAAGTCTATCGTGTTTCCTCCCTCATCTGTCGTGAACCCGACATGCATTGGCTGCCAAAGGATGCACGAAGACCATTAGAAACAAAAAAACTTGGCAGAAATTCATATAAATTACATCCCAAGATATCTAAAAAATAACATTCATATTTGCTGGAATTGCCCACAGGTATGTATATTACCTGATGGATATCTCCCATAAAGTGTGACAAGAAAAGCAAGGCCTCAGTCATATTATCTGCAAAGATATTCAAACACCAAACAAACTTTGATATTATTGTCCGTGCAATACAAGAAATTAGACATTGACAAACCCTAAAGCAATATCATCAATCTATATGTAAGAAAATCGGGGTTCCTTACATCGACGGTCAGATGTTCCTTCTGTGTAGTGTGAAAGCTGAGAGGTGAAGTTTTGGACGGCACCAGCAACACACATGTTCTTCACGCCATGTTGATCATGACAATCCCCTATTTTTTTTTCAAAACCAAACTTTGCCTTAATGTTGCTTTCTTGCTAATCAAGCAGTGCTAAATACTAATTAGGCAGGGGGAAGCTTTACTTGAGTAGTCAAAGGTGCAAGCATTATCCGGTGTATCGATGAAGTGAAGCGGGCTAGTCCATCTGTATCTGTACCAATGCCTGACCTGATCCGGCCATACGCAGAGAGCTGATAAATCACCATCAACGTTGTGAGGTAGTAAATTTCGAACAGCTTCTGCGGCCTCGGGCTTTAGAAGTGCCTGCAGTTTATCACTAATTAATCAGGATATTTGAAGGATTTTCTTTGAAAAACTCAAAATCTAGAACTGGTCAGCTTGCATTTTTGCTTTCCTTTTCCTAAGGGCATGCAAATTGTGCAATCTGGATGATAACAAAGATTAAAAAAGAAATTCTAATTAAGTTATTTGTAATTTTGATAGATTAAAAATATGACATGAAAAAAATGTTTAGACGTGTAAATTACAAAGAGTGATAGATGTTACATTCTCTTTGGACAACTTGGACTCTAGGGCAACTCATTTAACGGAAATTCTCTCATGCAGACTCTAATGGTGCACATCAAGTGTGGGCTCGTGTGGTTGATGCCATTAAGGTCCACATAAGAAACTACCTCGCTTATTTACCTGCGCAATCCGGCACGTCATAATATGACCCTCTTTGCTCCATCCTTGAGCTCTTGGAACTAAAATGCAAACAAAAGCCAACAAAACAAACCAATGGAAGGACAATCTCCCAAAGTATCTGTACGTCTCCATCTTAATTCTCTCTGTTGACACTACTATACTTATATACAGATTATTTATAGGCCCAGCAGAAGGAATCTTATGTTAACTTACAAGTCACCAAAGGTATTCAATGAGTACAAGTTTCGGCTTCCAACTAATTTATGTACACCAAAAGTCATTCTTTAACACAAGCAAGGTGGGGATGAGTTGGAGCACAACATATTAGGGATTTACTGAGAATTAGGTTAAATTGCACTAATAGTCATTGCAATTTAGTCAGATTTTCGATTTCATTGGTGTAGATTTTTTTTGTTGTATTTCGTTATTGTAGCTTCATTATGTTTTCGCTACAATCCAATTCGTCAACTAAGTTGATTTCTCCATCCATTTTTGTTGCGCATCTTCTTGTTTGGAAAACTCATTTTAGAAGTACGGATTAAACTAACGGTGTTAACTGAATGAAATTACAAGGAAGAAAGTGAAAATTGAGATGAACTACAGGGATTATAAGTGCTATATATTTAGAATAATGTTAGATACATTAAATTTGTAAACAAAATTTTGGAAACTAAAGGACATGGAAGTTAATAATTGGTATATTACTTGAGCATTGATAAACGTGTCAATTCCTACTGATGACACATCATTTAATTTGGAAAATTTGTTTCTAAATTTAATTTCCCTAACATTACCTATATATTTAGCCTATGACTTGACGAGTTGGTATACGTGGGAGGTCTCTCCCATAGGGGAGCTTCCACCTGTGAGCAATAATGGTGGGCCCCACTTTATGTGTTCCTCTGAAGGTCTTTCCCTATCCTTTTATCTTCATGCTTCAGCAAATTTTTCTGGGATTTTTTGAAAAGTAACCATATTTTAGATCCCATATAGAATTATAACCACCATTTTAGTTTTTTTATAATTCTAATAAGGTGAGAAACCAGAAGGTTGCAAGAGAGTTTAAAGGAGTTTTTGTTGTGAGAAACCCTAATATTAAGGGTACATTAGTACTTTTACGTCAAATTTTGGTTAGAATTATCATAAAACTAAAATAGTGGCTATAATTATATATAAGATCTAAAATATGGTTACTTTTCCAAATTTCTCAATTTTTCTTGCTCTCTTTTTTTTTTTTTGGATAGAGGAATTTTTTTGCTTGAGAAGAGAAAACACGGCTGAGGGGTGGCAGCCACACGGACCCCACTTTGAGCTAGCCTTTTCTCCACAACAGGTAACTGGGAGAAGAAGTAATCATCTCACATGATAACAACAAAATTAGATGAGAAAATGATCCATTTCCATACGATGCGGAGAAAAGTGGATGTAAGAAATATTTCTAGGACAGGCAATTATGTAGGTATAGGTTTGTCATTGCTGCAGTAGTCAGCTAGAAGTCTATTATTTTTCATTTGCAAAAAGAGCCTTCCATGCAATTGAGATGATACAGTGATAGACAGTATTCTAAGTCAATCACGCACTATCATGTGTGAGAATTAAAAACACTGTAAAGTTAGGCTTGAAACTGAGGCTAGGTTTTTCACCATTTTCTCTCCTATGATGTTGTGTACTTTACCCTTTCCAGGATAGTGAAAGAAAACTTCTATAGGGTCCTGTTGTGAAAAAAGCGAAT